CAGCAGTTGAGACAGGAGTGCAGCATTGTGTGGAAATTACTAAGTAGGTTAATCTCAGCAGGTATTATGGTTCAGACTATAATGGTAACAAGACTGTACTACTACCATCTCTGTAGCAGAACAATTCTTAAAGAAACTACTGCTCAAGCTGGACAAACACGAACAACATACTTATCTCTAGAAGGAATGACCTAAAGGCAAAATTAAAAAATTGGATAAAGGATAATTCATATTAAACTCTTAAATGCTTACCTGAGCCAGGGTGGCATCCGCACATGCTTTCCTAGCATCCTGCAACAGGAACAAAAAACAACAGAGAAATCAGAAGTTCCCTACATTTCCTTATCTGTTTTGTCAAGTTGATCCAGCACCCTCAAAACAAGGCTCAGAAAGCATTTCTGCTTGGCATCCTAAGAGGACCCACCCTAACTGCATCACGAACATAAAATGCTGCCTGCTGTTAAAACACAGAGTATATATTGAGCATTTAACTTCCAAACGTTCTTCTTTTGAGAAAATGGTAATGACTTTCACCATGAAGACAGTCAAGCAATGGAACTGCGTGTCCAGACAGGCTGTGCAGTCTCCATCCTTGGAGGTTTTTGAGACTTAACTGGACAAATCTCATTGCTGACACCTTATTTTAAGCAGGAGATCACTTAACATGGGTTATGGTCTGGCTCAGAAACACTTCAGTAAACATTCATTTTGATCTAATCCATTTTGTCCATTATTTGTGTAACTACTCTTTTTTAAGCAATATTAAAAGATTGAAAAGTGATTTCCTAAAGCAGTCACATGTGCTTGCCCTTTCTAAAAATCCACGTTAACTTTGACATTGTGAAAACATGTAACTTAATGCATCATTTCTGTCCATCTCTGTTCTCAAGCCACACAAATGACCATTCATCTGTACTGTGGCTTCCAGGTCCACAGATACAATACATACTCTGATTTGGTTTTTCAGTTGCTCAGCCTCCTGGCGTAACTGGTCAAGCTCACTCATTTTCCTGTGCTAATGGTGTGCCTCACTGCCACCTCTGAAACAACCAGAAATCTGAAAGACAGACAAGTGGTGATAATGCGAATTAGTATAAATCAGAGCTTGAAATTACTGAGTCCTTTTAACCACATCAAGCAGCTCTTGGGAACAAAAGGCAGATTGCTTTACAAGTACTAGAATACAGGTGAAAAAATTTCTCTGAAATCTCTTCAGAATAAGGTGTTACCACACTTGAATGTGCTTTGCTTTTTGCCAGCACAGTAAACAAGATATAATTTGGACTTACTCCTTCCCTCCAGGGCTCCTATTTGCATTTTTTTCGTTAGTGTTTTTCTGATTCAGTTTTGTATAAACTCAAATTTCCCTAGAGTGAATCAGCAGATAACAGTAATGTTAGACACGAAATTCAGAACTTCTCTGTAGGTCTTAAGAATAGAGTAAGAAATTCTCTTATCAAAGAACAAACCCCTTAAGTATTTACAGACTGACACAATCACTTGCAAAATGCTGTAGGAAGAACCATTATGAATGGTTTCTGTAACACAGGGGTTGTGAGAAATGTTGTTCTAAGATCTGGGTAGAAGGATCACTCACAAATGTCGTTCAGGATTTTGCATGTTAATTGCTAAAATGTCTCCCTGAGACTTACAGAATGGATTCCAATAGTAATGTGTTGTCAGAATGGAACTAGTATTTTTTTGAATGTTGAGGAGAGGAGCTTGAGAAACTGCTGCCAAGAGACATTTTCCCCCTCTAAGACTCTAATTTTCCTAGCACTGATAAGGACCAAATTACTAACACATATCCCTCTGTTTGCTGTACTCTGCAGTCAACAAGATAGTGGCTCAACAGAACACACCTACCACTGAACACCCTCTACTACTGCCTGTAGGAGTTCCTCAACTATTGAACTGTTTTCCAATATAATCAGCATACAGATTCCATTAAGCATACAACTTACCTTTGAAAATCACTGTTCCAGAAAGATGTTGTTGCCATTTTCACTAGCACTGCATGCTTAAAACTCAGCTGCTCTTAAACTTTGTTTTAAAATATGTGCAGCTTGATATATAACATGCTGATGAAGTTTATCTTTTATTGCAGATCAAGATAATTGGTTCCATTTTCAAATGCTACACAGAGCACCTGGAGTTTATAAACAAACACTGGTAGTGTGTGCTTAGAACATTTTATTAGCCAGAATTGACCCTTTACTATTAAAGCAAATGCTTTGCCAGCAGCTTTACATATTACTCTGTTAAGATTTAATCAGCTTATTTATCTTCGCAGGCATGCATGTTTTTGTTGTTTTTTTTTTTCCTAAAGCCCTTCCCAAGGAGAAAGAGGAGGATAATTTCCACATTTTTATCCACTCATAGTAACAAGAAGCATACTGTGAAGGCAAATTAAAGCAATAGAGCAAGCACTGCTATCTAAAGAAGTTTCAAAAGACTGACTAAACATTCCCTAAATATTGCTATCCCACATAACCAGACTACTCAGGTCTCTTCATAGTAGCTAGTATTGCAAACTAAAGACCTCAAGGAACAAATGTCAGATCTTGCCATATCATCATTTATGAATTTATACTCTTCTCTGAAACCCACAATAGTTTAGAAAAGGAGTTTTAGTTAGCTCCTGGTTCAAACCCTACATCCACACAGCTTCAAAGCCCTTTCACTTCATTGTGAAACTAGGTCTCTTCTCTCTTCTGGTGCCAGGGTCATCTTTAAGCCCCTTTAAGATTGCTTGTTCAGCTCAGTCCAAATCCAGTTAAGACAAAACCCATCAAGAGTGTTTTATTATCCTATAACCACCTTCTTTTCTTTTGAATGCTCTTCTGTTTCTCAAGATGTGTTGTTCACTCTGCATCTAAGACAAAACAGACTGTGGCTGGGCCTCCCTACAGTTTTTAACATGCAGTCATCACTGCCTAGAGCTCCTGTGTAGATCACACGCATTGTGAAATAACATGTGCTCATCTTGTCATGAATTAAGAAACTCTGAAGACTTATTACGAATAAACTGAAATTTTTCAGATCTTTCAGCTTTTAAATAATCATTTTTGCTTCTGCCATTCTCCAAGTTAATATGTAAGCCCATTTCCCACTGAGCAAATACCAACCTCTCCAGGCAGAGTACAAAGAATTCAGAGATGGTATCATTCCTATTTCAGAGAAAGAAATCATGATCCAAAACTTAAGTGTTCTGCTCAAGGTCACAGCAACTCAATGATGGGATTAGGATCAAGATTTAGGACACCAAAATTCCAGCTGCAGAGATACAGGTAACTACACTGAAGATTTGCATGCAGCTTTATTTAAAAATATAATAGGATGAATAATCTAATGTCAAAGCAGACATGTTCTCCTGTAATACTGCTTAAAATAGTGCCAATTTATTTCTGCCAGAATCTATGTGCTATGCAACAGAATTCTCTCGCACATAAATGAAACAATAATTCTTTATATGGAACAGAAGAGGCCTAATGAGATGAACACTAATCCTAGGGGAAAAAGTTACAGCGAATAAGTCCACCTCACAGAAACCAGACCCTGTAGTTTCATTCTGGATTATTTGCACACACAGAGTTCAAAACAAATCATAGAAGCTTATTTCATGCTTGGGCCTTATTGCTTAATATAGCATGCACTTAAGGATACTATTGCAAATGACCCAGCCTTACCTAGTGTACAACTAAGCTCCTAAAATGCTCTATTTGTGAACTCCGTGTCAAGACAGTCTCTCCCTAATGCTTTAAGGAAAGCTTCCTTTTAATGAGTAACTTCAAAATTGTTTATCAACACTACAGAAACCTTTACACCTACACGCAAGATACCATCTCCATTATCATGGGCAGTGAGGAGTTTAAGGAACTTAACTACTGTTGTTACAAGCAGCACCTATGGATCTTGACCTTCAGTTACTTGCTAAGCAGGACTCACGTTTCAATATTCACTGCATGACAACTAGTAGCTGAATGCATACACCCCTTGATGTCTTCCCCATCTGCAACACCATAGATCCACATAAATTCACATCTTGAAGTTAGGTACTTTTAGAGTTACAAGTTAAGCCCTGCATTCCAAGCAACTCCAAACTGTGTTTCTGACAGCATCCAATGGAATTGTTTAAGCCACATTTCCACGTTCCCTTTGTAGTCTTTGTTGTTTCAACATCAACAGGAAGTTCCAATTCCTGCCAACATGACTGAACTCACTAGCACTCAGGAAACGAAAATCCTAATGAAGCCAAGAGCACTAAAATATAGGAGTTCTCTGAAGCAGACTAAAATTTATGGGACAACCAGCCACCAGCTTGGCTATTCCTCTATTTCTTTTACACTAAGTCTTAGGTAATTAAATTTATGTCAGAAATATGAAATCTGTGGGGAAATAAAGAGCTCCATCCTCTTGTGTATTGATTACTGTAAATCAGTAGAGTTTACTAGTGTCTAGCATTAAAAAACAAAAACAAACAAAAACAACTTTAAAAGGGCAAGAACAACAGGTAAGGTCAGGAAAATGTATGGGCAAACAAAATGGTTTTATCTATTCTCATTCTCAGTACATGAGAAATATTTATACAGATTTATTCTTAGACATAACAAGCAGAGACTGTTCAATATATGATCTATGCTCATTACAAGCTAGTGCAATTATCATGAAATAACACATTTTTGTTTCTTGGCATGTTTAAAGGCACTTAACCCCATCTTAAAAGAAGTTTTTAGAAGAAACTGTAAGCTTGATAGGGCTGATACTTCTATTTCTGGGTTTTTGAAAGATGTTACCAAATTTCTAAATCAAACAAACCTCATGCACTATTCAAATTCCACACTCCTTTTATCCAAATTATCACCATAGCTGTGAAGAAATAGGTAGCAGTCAAACTTATACTTACCTTTCTTTTGAGTAAGTTAATGTGTTCTTGAAGGCAGGCTTCTCAAGAATAACACACTCACTTTGCCGAACCCACTCAAGACCTTTCCAGAGGCTGAAGTGCTTAAGTGTCTCTGCTCTAAGCCTAATTCCTGCTAATCTTGTTGACAAGTATACCTCAGAGATAATTCTCTTCTTGCTAGAGACAAGAAGATGCATACTTGCAAGGTAGTTCACTGTTCTTCACTATACCACACGACTCAAGTCTCTAATCTCTTTTTAGAAGTTACCCTTAGAAGAGTCCCTTTGTTCCTCTGTTTCCAATCAAGAATTGACTTCACCTTTCAATAGAAGATCAAACTTTACAATTTGGCTATTTCAAAAGGATTTATCAGGTCACTCATCTCAAATTAACAACTTCTGGGTTTGTTTTTCTCTAAGGTACATGACCTACATTCCTATGTAAAAGGAAAGTTATCTATGTCCAGGCACTCAATTATGTTGAACAATCTTTGCACTGAATAGAAAGCCATATGAAATCTAAATAACTCCCACAGGCTTCCTGCAAATGGATATAGACATAAGGTCCCAGTATAATAATTCACTTTAAATGTAAAGCTCACTATGCAAAATACAGTGATAATTCAAAGGCTAAGGAAGAATTCACTCATTTCATTATTAGAACTCTAATGTCCTTTCCAGAGCTCAAATTGTTTATCCAATTAAGTCCAGTTACTGAAACCAGCATATCATTAATACTATCACATTTAGATGTAGAGTGATGCTTGCCTACATTATAAGAGAAGTGGGAAGAGTTGAATACAACTTATCTAAATACATATTCTTGTGTTAAATATGATTCCTCTCTACAACTGCCTGGTAACAGCAGTGAGGTGATGGTCACTAAACACTGTTATTTAATCTTCTCACACCATTTCTCCTGAATAGCCCATCCTATAAATAATCTCTACAGATTAAAAGAAGAGAACACAGATTTGAAGTTGCAGCTATCATTAAGTCAAGTATTTAGAACTTCTATCCCTTGATGGCCAAACTTTCTTTTCCACAAAATAATTTTAGTTTACATTACTACTACTAAAACCTAAAGTAATCCCACCAAGCCATTGCTGATGCGGTCTGGTAACACAGAAGGTTTAAAGATATACTGTTAGAGCACTACCCATGTACAATAACTTCCTAAGAAGGTTAGCCAAATCACCTTTCTCCCCAAATGAACAGCTTGACCAATACTTGTTCCCTCAACATTTTCCCTGCTAATACACATCACCCCAGTATGTACAAAACAGACACAGAAAAAGCAAAGCACATCATTTGCAAGAACAGAGACAAAACTTCACAGCCTTCCTAATGAGTTCATGTTACATCTACCAGTCTCATAGCAGGTCATCTGATTAAATGAAATTGTGTTAATCTATTAGATACCATAAATCCTATTAGCAACATACACAGCAGCTTGTACATTTTCACAATGACAACGGAATTACACACAATCCACTGTTAGTTCCAATGTTTTGACATCATACTGGCTTTGAAAAGCTGAGGGGGTTTTGTTATTTAATTGGAAGTATATATTGAGTCCTATTTGACTTTTATTCAATAGAAAATACAGTAAGAAAGATCAGAATTGCTTGTGGAACAAATTTGAGGTGTTCCCTATCCCATTTACATGCTCCACAAGAGAAGACAAAAAAAATTTAGGGGTGCCTTCTGATCCTTAAGTACACACATTTCCAGATAGAGTGACCAACAAAAAAAAAAAAAAAAAAAAAAAAAAAAGGTGTAGAGAATTTTAGAAGTTAAAAATCATAGAAAAGGTATTCAGGAACATGACATAAATGTAAAGACTCACACAAGCTTCTGTGATACAGCTTTATTTGAGGGGGGGGGAAAAATCCAACCAAAACACAAGCCTTTAGAATATGCACCGAATATAGCTCAAAGACACTGGCTTAATAAGCAGCACTGATTAAAACAGAAGGTTAAATACAAAATAGGACAAAAAAATACTAAAAATACTATAATGCCACTGAGGAAAAACAATGGTTTGCCTACACTGGGAACACTGTGTTCAGTTTCTGCTCCTCAAAAAAAAAGAAAAAAAAAAAAAACCAAAAACAAAAACAAAGAAAAAACCAACAAAAAATAAAAAAAAAAACCACAAAAGAAAAAACACTGGAAGTATCTAGGGTTGACCAAAGTAACTAATTGCGGAGTACCTCGGAAGACAGGTTTAGAGAAAGAGACAGGGGCTCACTTGCTGCTTGCTTTTTTGAAAAACAGGTAAACATCTAGTAATGGGAAGCAACAAATTAAACTGAGCAAATACTTCCTACACAACATATGGCTAACTAGTGATGTTCCTAACAGAGTACGGGGCTTCACAAGAGGCAGAAACAAGTTAGTCTGGAAAGTAATGAAGGTTTCACTGTTCCAAAAAATATTACTAATAATTATGATTGCAAAGAATACGAACTTTGAAACTCCTAGGTTCTGTTTAAATAATACAGACACATTAAAAAAATTCTGACAAGAGCCACTTTGCTTAAAAGAAATTTGGCCTTCTTTTGTCAAACATGGCAGAGAAGTAATTTTTCATTCACTAGAGAATGACCATTGTCATCATTTTATTTATTACAATTCCCTGCCCCACTGAGATGAAACTGTTTCATCTACGGTCTCCCTCTGCTTTGCCAGTTCCATTTCTGAATAAAGGCAGGCACCAACATCTATTATTTAGCAGGTTTCCTGCCCATTTTAAAATCCTTCCTGTTGATAGAAGTAATGCTAAAGTAGAAAACAGGTACTTTAGGCTTGCACATACTAACTGCTAAAATCCTTAAGTTTGCCACTTAAAAAATATTATGAGTTTCTCAAGCACTAGTAAAAAGAAGTTACCTTATTTCTTTACTTACATTTTCTCTCACTACAGTAGAAAGCCAACTAGTAGAAAAGTCAAAGTAGTAGAAAGCCACTACAGTAGAAAGTCAAACATGCAAATTCTGGGGGGAGGGGAGAAAAAAAAAAAAAGAAAGAGAAAAACAAAACCAGAATTTGTACAGTTGTCAAGAAATAACAGATTTCTTAAGTCTAGCAGAAATTAAAATGCTATCAAAGCACAGACTATTTTTTGTTAGCTATTTTTTCCAAGAAAACTCTTGCAATCCTCAGATCATTAAGTCTCCTCCCCTAGTGATACAGGACTCCACACTGTTAGAGAGTTTAGGATTGTAGCAAAACATTGTCTCACTCATACAAGCCTAATTTTCACTGCACTACAAAGTGTCCCCTCTCCCCAGTCTGCGTTTTCAAAGCATTGAAATTATTTCTGCTCAATACTGTTCCTGAGGTATGCTAGCTTTCTAAGCACAGTGAAATACCAAGGTATCTATTTTATCAAAAGAAGTTACATAAACCTCCTACTAAACAGCTCAAGCGAGAGCACAACACTCTTCTAGAAGAGTTACGACTTCTAATCACTAAAGATGTTAACAAGTGAAATATTAACACATAAAAAAAAAAAACTCACACACTTGCAGTCTGGAAGACTGTAATGATTTAACATACAAATTGGCTTTGTAGCAAGATGGAAGAATTTCTTGTAAGAAATTTTGGAGCAATTTTTTTCCTCTGGCAGCACAAAGTCATTACAGTTCACCCCAAGATTCTGAACTTCAACAACCACTTCTACACGCAAAACATCTGTAATCTGTCTGTACCACACAGCAAGACAAGGGCTATGGGTGATGTCAATGGACACTAAGTGTGCATCTTCAAAGCTGCTGCATCAGGACAGTAGAGGATTATTCCAGCCACAAAGCAAGAATGTACTGAAGCAAAATGATCTTAAATCAGAAAGCCAGTCTACAACCTCATGTACTTTAAACTGAAATGCTTACAGATAATGCATCTTTCCGATTTTACAGTTCACTATTAGCCGGAAAATTTACAAACCACTCCAGTGTCTGGTATGGAGGTTAAACTACTTAGGATATGGATCATCCTCATCCAAGCTCATTTATAGATGAACAGCTTAATACTGTGATTATGGAATCATCACAGTGTAAGCAGTTTTGTTGGCTACTGCCAGAAAAACCACACTTTTAGACATAAAACAGTAACTCACACTTAGAGGCCAAACTCTAGCCCCCAAAGACACAAGCGCATGACATGACCATTTGAAGTTCTGAAAAAAGATCAACTCTATTCAACTTTCAGAAGTCTTGACAGGAAAAAATTGCCCACATTGCAGAGATAAGAAAACTAATGAAATTCTGAAAGCATTACCTGAAATCTAAACAATTATGCTGGAACACTAACAGTACACAGAATACACAATAGCAAAGGCCAAAACACACACCATTATTGTCCTGTGCTGTACCCTCATTAATGCAGGAGAGGTGTTGCAGATTTCATATGCCTTCTGCAAAAAAGAAAAACAAAAAACCAAAAAAACCCCTGCTTTAACCAGCCTGCAGGAAGAGTAATGAAGTCTAACAGCAAAATGCTCCACAAAGTTTAGTTTTTAAAACCAGGCTAAGTCTCCAGATGAGCTTGCTGAAAGCATCCTGTGATGCCTGCAGAATGCAGTCCTAGCAACTGAGGTATTTTCAATTAAAGATGGAGCTCTTTTCAAAGAACAAAAGTAGACAAGTGACTGAAGAAGAAGTGGGGGGGGGGGTGAGATCTGCATCGTCACAAGCTTCCAATTTTAGCTAAAATGTAGCCTGGTAAAAACAACATGAAAATTACAGGCCAAGTCATTCACCACACCACAATACTGGTTCAGCAAAGAAAGAGTTCTTGTAACAAGCTTTATACACCATCTTTAATCAGCCCTCACAGCCCTGCTTAGCTGAGAGCTCAAGAACTGGGGTTTCTAAAACTGGAGAGAACAAAAAGTACCACAGAATACTTTAAGCTTGGTTCAAATGGTTAAACCATTATACCAAAGCACCTTGGAGGTTAGCCAGCCCTACACATAGCTGGCATACCCAGTGTCCCCACATTCCCACAGCTTTCTGCTCCAAGCAAAGCATCATCATTTCTGGGTAAAGCTTCCTTACTACAGCACCAACTGC